GGAAGGGACAGGCTGGCTTTGGCTGGCAACTCTGCCTTAGGTCAGAGTTCAGAACCACACTTATGCCTAGGAGTTAGGGGATCCACTCCTGTGCCCAATCCTGGAGCTCATTTGGCGTGAGGCAGACATCACTAAGGCCGGCCTCACTCATCTGCAGCGCTTTACCGGCGATCGCACACTTTGAAGCCCTCACGGACTGGAGATCCTGAGTCCTTTCTTAGAGATAGACGACTAATCTCCCCAGGGCCTCCGGCTGTGACTGACAACAGCAGTTTATAATTACAGCTTCCCTGGCTCTGTCTAAAGTGCGTCTTGCTGAAATGTGGGCTTTGGATTCTAGCGTTCCGCCTGCCTACCAGGTCTTGCAAATTAGCAGAGGTGTAATCATATGAAGTGGAAACCATCCCTCCTCTCTTCTTATCTTCTTTACAAGAAGCCTGAGTCCATCCTTTGAAGCTCTCAGAGTGGCCGTCAGGATGCTGGAGCAGGGGAGACAGCGAGGACTTTTAAACCGATAGGTCACTCCTATAAAACCCACCTCCCCGTTGTTCATCTCGGTGTCCAGTTTGGACCAGATGGTTCTGCTCTACTGGGGGAAAATGAGCAGACTTGGTTGTGCTCCATGCTAATTCAATACATAAAGCCATAATACTCAGATGGGATTTAAAAAGTGTATGTGTGTGTGTGTGTGTGTGTGTGTGTGCGCGCGCGCTGTGTGCACGTGCCTGTGTGTGAGTGTGTGTGAGATGGTCTGTGTGTGTGCACACGCTTGTGGAGGTTACAGCACAGACATGGATGTCATCCTCAGGAACGCTGTCCACGCTCCCTTGAGACACAGTCTCCCTCTCTGTGGCCTGGGGTCAGCAGTTAGGCTGAGGTATCTAGCCAAGGGGTGCCAGGGCTCCACTTTCCCAGCAGGGACTGGAAGAATGTAGCACCATGTCTATGGGTTTTTCACTGGCTCTGGGACCGAGCCGACCCCAGCCCTGTAGATACCCAAGTTTTCAAGTATATGGTGACTGTGTTCAATCATCTCAGCCAGACACCCCACCCCAGAGTGTCCTGTCTTTTCCCAGAACCCCCTTCTTCCCCAACCAGACACTGGAACAGGCTAGCTTCACCTGTCTAGAACAGCATGAAGAACGCACCTCTGTATACCTAATTGGCCTACAGTGACTTTTTTGTGTCCATCTATGTAGTCATTTACAGGTCGTGCCCTCAGGGAAAATGCTCCTGACCTCAGCCACAAAACTCAAGAAAGCAAGCGAAGGACAAGGCTAAGCTGGGCACGGGGTGTGGAGCATAACTCCAAGTTTGCACCGAGGGCTTTTCACTCATTCCCGTCTGTGCCTTGCTGTTGCTGAGAAGTAATATTCTGTCCTGTGCATGAGGTATACCACACCTTTGTTACGTAGATGTCAGGTGGGCACTGGTATAGCTTTTACCTGAGAGAGAGAGACAGAGAGAGAGAGGGGGGGGAGAAGTTATCCCTGCCTCCTTACTCGTGACGATGCTCATTGCTCTTGGGTAAACTCTTAAGGAATGGCTGCTTCATTCTTTGACTCCTGACACTCGGTCATGTGCTGACACATTTTCCACCTTTGCTGGAAGAGGCTGGAAGCTTCGGTTCTTCTGTGCCCTCAGTGATTCCTGCTGCTGTTGGGTGGCTTTTCTGTTTTTAATGTCAGCTGTGAAGCGATTATCTTGTGTTGGGAATGCGAGTGCCCTGGTGACTAAGGAGGCTGAGCATTTCCATGTGCTGACTAGCCATTGGTCCATGTTCTTTTGGAAAGCATCTATTCATTACTTCTTCCCTTTTTTATTGATTGTTTTCAGTTGCTGAGTCACCATAGTTCTTTATGCATTCTGGACTCAAATCCTAGTCAGATTGGGAGCGAGTGTTGGTGTGAGCCAGCCAGGGCAGGACTTAGAGCAGAGCGGACACCACTGAAGTTGATATCGCTATCATGTAAACGCTCACAGACCCGAGACTGCACAGCTCCAGTTGTGAGACACCCCCACAGACATAAGTGTTTGCACACTTAGATACCAGCTGTTGGCGCTGTTTGATTTTGGAGCCTTTTGGAGGTGGAACCTCACCCAAAGGAAGTTGGATGCTGGGGGTGGGCGTTGAGGCCTTAGAGTCTGGTGGCTAGAGATCAGAAGGGAGGGAGAGAAGGAGGGAGGGAGAGGAGGACAGAGAGAGAGACAGAGAGAAGGAGGGAGGGTAGGGAGGGAAGGAGGGAGGGAGAGAAGGAGGGAGGGAAAGACAGAGAGAAGGAGGAAGGAAGGGAAGGAAAGAAGGAGGGAGGCAAGGGAGAGAAGGAGGGAATATGGGAAGGAAGGAAAGAAGGAGGGAGGAAGAGAGGAGGGAGGAAGAGAGAGAGAGGAGGGAGGAAGGGAAGGAGGAAAGGAAGGAGAGAGGGAGAGGGAG